AGGGGACCTGGACTCAGCAGGCATCAACACTGGTGTGTCCTGACTGGGTAGGGAGGGGACAGGTGCTGATAACTGATGTGTCACAAAGGTGATGTGTGCCGTGGAGCAAAAGGATGAGAAAGTGAGTCGAGAGGGCGCGTGCACCAGCTGGCGGTGGGGAGCTCTCTGACCCGCAGGGGGTGGGGGATGAGCAGTGTGTAAGGGTTGGGGGGCACTCCAGGGAGGGGGAGCAGCCAGTGCCAGGCCCTGAAGTTGCAGGATCAGCAAGGAGGCGGGGCGGGAGGGGCCAGAGAGATGGCAGAGGAGGTCAAGGGCCGACGTGCTCCCAAGTTCATCACATGAAGCCAGACAGAAACCACCGCCTCTGCCCCTTACTCGCAGCCCCAGCCCTGCCGCCGCCCTTAGGGACAATCAGGGCAGGTGTGCTGACTGACCCCTGGCCGGGGGTGGCCTGTTTTCAGGGCGCTGGCTACAATGGATGGACGAGCGGAAGGCAGAACGCACAGAGCCTGGACCTGAACCGCAACTTCCCCGACCTGACCTCCGAGTTCTATCGCCTGGTCTCGTCCCGCGGGGCGCGCACGGACCACATCCCCATCCCACAGCACTACTGGTGGGGTAAGGTAGGCGCCACCGCCGCCCATGGCCGCCCCAAGGCTGGGCCCCGCCCACGGTTCTGCATCCATCCCGGGGTTTCAGCTATTCCGGGCCCCTCAGGCGTGGTCCCTCCCCAGGACAGGACAGCCTGGCAGTTAAAGCCTTCTCTAGCCTGTTTCCTGTCCGTGAAATGGGGAGAACTCCTCGCTGGGTGTTGGTGGAATTCAGGGGGCGTGACTTGCAAACACCAAGTGCCTGGGAGGGTTGGATGCCCAAGGAGGCTGCCTGGAGGAAGGGACGCCGGCAGGGTGTGCCCAGTCCTCAGGACCGCCTCCTCCATCCGGGGCAGGTGGCCCCCGAGACGAAGGCAGTCATGAAGTGGATGAGGACCGCTCCCTTCGTGCTCTCAGCCAGCCTCCACGGGGGCGACTTGGTGGTGTCGTACCCCTTCGACTTCTCCCAGGACCCCCATGAGGAGAAGATGTTTTCTCCCACGCCTGACGAGAAGGTGAGGGGTGGGTGCCACGGTGGGATGGGCTTTGGTGGGTGCAGGGGACTGGTGGTGTGGGTGGTACGCTTGGGGCTGGCCCGTATCAGTCCTGTTCTGAGCCCGCAGAGTCACTGAACCATGAAGAGCCTTCCAGGCCCAGCTCCAAAGCCCCCTCTTCCAGGAAGCCTTCCAGCCCAGCTGGAAGCAGCCCCTCCCTCCTCTGGCCGCACCCCACCTTTCCTCAGTGTTCCCTGTCTGGGAGCCTCTGAGGTGGGGGCCCTGGCCGCCTGGCGTTTTCTGACTGGGGGTGGGTGGGCGCCGGGCGATGCCGGGAGATGCCAGCAGAGGGCAGTACAGCAGCACGCGTGGCACGGCGTGGCTCTGGGCCGCCGGTCCTTCCGGTGGGTGGGCCTCGGGGTTTGTTAAGGATCTGGCTTCCCAGGAGTTGGGTGCAGTGGGATCAGAGTAGGAATTCTGGGCCCCTCGTCACCTGGGGCTGGAGGAGGTCCTGCTCCTCTCCAGGCCTCAGTTTCCCCCACTGGTCCTCCCAGCAAGGGCTGAGGCCCATGATGCTAACAGGACCCTCTCCAGCCCCCTTCTCCTCTGAAACCGACTTTTGCCCACAGTCCTCCAGCGCTGACTGGCTCCCTCCCCAGGCCCCGTGCTGGAGCTCACACAGGCTGGCCTTCTGGGAAGGCTGTGGGGGTGCAGCCCTTTCCATTTTATGG